AGGAACAAATAAAAAAAGAAATTAAAGACTTCCTCGATTTCAATGAGAATGAAGACACAACATACACAAACTTATGGGACACTTTGAAAGCAGTGCTGAGAGGAAAGTTTATAGCACTAAGTGCCCACATGAAAAAACTGGAGAACAGTCATACTAGAGAATTAATAGCACAGCTGAATGTTCTAGAACAAAAAGAAGCAAACTCCCCCAGGAGGAGCAGACACCAGGAAATAATCAAATTGAGGGCTGAAATCAATCAAGTAGAAACCAGGAAAACATTGAGAAGAATCAATGAAACAAAGACTTGGTTCTTTGAGAAAATCAACAAAATAGACAAACCTCTGTCCAAACTAACCAAAAGACAGAGAGAGAACATGCTAATTAACAAAATCAGGGATGAGAAAGGGGACATAACAACGGACTCTGAGGAAATCAAGAGAATCATCAGGGCATACTTTGAAAATCTGTACTCCACAAAATTTGAAAATTTAAAGGAAATGGACAATTTCCTGGATAGATATCACTTGCCAAAACTAAATCAAGAACAGATAAATAATCTAAACAGACCTATAACCCCTAATGAAATAGAAGCAGTCATCAAAAGTCTCCCAAACAAAAACATCCCAGGCCCAGATGGCTTCAGTGCAGAATTCTACCAGAAATTCAAAGAAGAGCTCATTCCAATACTCGTCAAAGTATTCCACACAATAGAAGCAGGAGGCTCACTGCCAAACTCTTTCTACGAGGCTACAATTACCTTGATACCCAAGCCACACAAAGACACAACTAAGAAAGAGAACTATAGACCAATTTCCCTCATGAACATTGATGTGAAAATACTCAATAAAATACTTGCAAACCGGATTCAAGAACACATCAGAAAAATCATCCACCATGATCAAGTAGGCTTCATCCCAGGAATGCAGGGATGGTTCAACATTAGAAAATCTATCAATGTAATCCACCATATTAACAATCTGCGAAAGAAAAACCACATGATCATCTCACTAGATGCTGAAAAAGCCTTTGACAAAATCCAGCACCCCTTCATGATAAAGGTCCTAGAGAGATCAGGGATAACAGGAACATACCTGAATATAATAAAAGCAATATACAGTAAACCAACAGCTAACATCAAACTAAATGGAGAGAAACTCAAAGCAATTCCTCTAAAATCAGGAACAAGACAAGGCTGTCCACTCTCTCCATATCTCTTCAATATTGTACTTGAAGTTCTAGCTACAGCAATAAGACAACAAAAGGAGATAAAGGGGATACAAATAGGAAAAGAAGAAGTCAAACTTTCACTTTTTGCAGATGATATGATAGTTTACATAAGTGTCCCAAAAAACTCCGCAAGGTTACTCCTAGAGCTGATAAACACCTTCAGCAATGTGGCAGGATACAAGGTAAACTCAAAAAAATCAGTGGCCCTATTATATACAGAGGATGAAGTGACTGAGAAAGAAATCAGAGAAACATCACCTTTTACAATAGCCAAAAACAGCATCAAATATCTGGGGATAATGTTAACCAAGGAAGTGAAAGACCTGTATATCAAGAACTTTGTGTCTTTGAAGAAAGAAATCAAAGAAGATACCAGAAAATGGAAAGATCTCCCATGCTCTTGGATTGGTAGGATCAACATAATAAAAATGGCAATCTTGCCAAAAGCAGTCTATAGATTCAATGCAATCCCTATCAAAATTCCATCACAATTCTTCAAGGACCTGGAAAGAACATTAATCAACTTTATATGGAAAAACAAAAGGCCCAGGATAGCCAAAACATCCCTATACAATAAAGGAACTTCAGGAGGCATCACCATACCTGACTTCAAGCTCTATTATAGAGCTATAGTCCTGAAAACAGCTTGGTATTGGCACAAAAATAGGCAGGTAGACCAATGGAACCAAATCGAAAGCCCTAATTTTAACCCACACACCTATGAACACCTGATTTTTGACAAAGAAGCTAAAACTGTACAGTGGAAAAAAGAAAGCATCTTCAACAAATGGTGCTGGCATAACTGGGTAATGGTATGCAGAAGACTGCAGATAGATCCATGTTTATCGCCTTGTACAAAACTTAAGTCCAAATGGATCAAAGATCTCAACATACATCCAGCCACACTGAAACTTTTAGAAGAGAAAGTGGGAGATACTCTTCAACGAGTTGGTACAGGAGACCACTTCCTAAACATAACACCAGTGGCACAGGCACTGAGATCAACAATTAACAAATGGGACCTTCTGAAACTAAAAAGCTTCTGTAAGGCAAAGGACACAATCAAAAAGACAAAAAGGCAGGCCACAGAATGGGAAAAGATATTCACTAACCCTACATCTGACAGAGGGCTAATCTCCAAATTTTACAAAGAACTCAAGAAACAAGTCTCCAAAACACCAAAGGATCCACTTGAAAGGTGGGGTACAGAGCTAAATAGAGAATTCTCAGTAGAGGAGGCTAAAATGGCCAAGAGACACTTAAGAAAGTGCTCAACATCTGTCCCGCGCTCTATCTCGCCCGCAAGAATGACGCGGCACACGATCAGGATCCTTCTGCAGTAAGCTTTATTGCTCCTGAGAGGAGGAGCATAAGCTATCACAAAGCGAAGACCCCACGCCCTAACGGGACTCTCCTTATATAGAGAGTTTCTCTCGCCTCGGACGTGGCAGTTAATTACTGGTCCAATTATGTCACCCGAGGTGACGTAAGGCACAGGCACCCCCGGCCTCGTGGGCAGGGAGCTCCTGCTCATGCGCAGCAGAGTTGTCATTGCAACTGTCAGGCGGATGTCAGCGCCATCTCGCCATGGCGTGGTTCCAGGGCAGCGCCCAACATCTCCCCCTTTTTATTTTAATAAAAGCACACAAAAGTGTCCCAACTGGGCTGCATAGGCTAAAACACCCATCCTCGTGCAATGCAACAAAGTCGCTGAGGGTGCAAGGGCTGTTCTGCCGACAGCTAATGGCCACCTCGTCACCAGAGACAGAAACCAGATGAATGGCCTACATCCGTTGATCACCATCAGGCTCTGCAGCCCATCAGGGTTCGAAACAGATGAATATACCCCATATAGCACCTTTCCGCGTGCAATGAGACGAGCTCAGCGGAGTGCAAAGGCTGCAATATCAATGATCACCTTCTCTGGTGCAAATGTCCAAAACATTTCGGACTCAGAGGTGCAAAGGCTGATCTATTGAAGCAGGGGCAGAGAAATATAGCCGGAGTCTGCCAAGGTGACAGGGAAAGCCAGAATGAAATGGGGATAATCAAAGGCTATTCTCCACGCTTTAACATGGTGAGCCAGACCTCCGCCGAGGCCCCATACTCTAGAGCCGCGAGTGCCTGTGTAATCATGACTTTATCTGTTTTTGCCTTTTTGAACACTTTGCAAAACAAAAAGAATAAAATTGCCATTCCGAAGCAGAGAAACATCCCGAAGCAGAGAAACATCCCGAAGAGTCCCACCCCCACCCATTCCTTGAAATAAGAGAAGACAGAAGAGATCCATGACGACAGTCCTTCTTGTAGGGAGACATCAATTCTGGTGGATCGCTGTTCTCAAGTCCTGCAGTATCTGTTCAAATTCGAATGTCCAATTCTGTAAAATGAACTGAGAAAGACTTTTGGACAAATTAGCCGCTCTAATAAAATTTTCATATTGTATTGATGTAACACAAAGTCCAGGCATTTTATATTCACATCCTAACTGCGCCAATTGCCATAAAATATCCAATTGTTCTTGAACCAGGTCGATGCGCTGATTAACCAGCATCAACCCTCCCTGAATTTGAGTATTTGCCGAACTTTGTCGGTCGAGCGCCACTGATACTGATGATGAAAGACCATCAAGAGTATCTGCCGTTTGTACAGATGTGGATAGGGCCATTGCCGAGGCGGTCACAGAGGCAGCCACTGCTGTAGTGGCCACAATGGCTACAATTATGGCCGAGATGCCGAAATCTCTTTTTGTGCGTAGCAGAGACAAGCTACTCGGGGCTTTCACCGGCACGGGCACAAACCTCGGCATTCTAGTCACCACAGCATAAGAATATTTCGTGGCATCCCAGCATAATGTATAAAAGCAGCTCTTGGTATCACATCTTAATTCCTCATTCTCACCTATAAAATTATTGCTTACAATCCATAAAAAGGGGGCCAAACACAAACTGGTGATGGGGCATATTCTTTTCTAATAAATTCTTTATGCTTCATATCTGAAGCTTGCCAAGTGCCGGAGCCAGATCCCCCGAAAATTTGCCCTTCCAATTGTAAGAGATTTGTCCTTTTTCCCCAGCTCCTCCTCCTATCATTACCATAGGAGTCAAATCCGTCAAAGGGATTGACCCAAGTTGTCAAGGGTGTCATATTCAAAAAATGATGCCCTAGGCTGGGTGAGAAAGTGAAGGTATTAGGGCCTACCCAGTGTTGATACCTAGATTGACATTCAGTCCAAGGCAGGATATACTCTTCTGATTGAATCCCTTTACAAAATGGGGCTAACTTTGGCTGATCATGGGGAGTAGCATTAGTACTAACCGGCAGCGCCTAACATCGGATGCATTGGCTACAATCTCTAAATCAGTTCCCCAACTAGCCTCGCCTTGCCAGGCAGCCGATTGATTCCTCAAATTAACACAGTTAATACTATTTTTATTATCATTTACTTTGGAAAAATGAAAGCATAAGCTTCCTCTTAAGGAGAGGGAGCGATTTTCTTGTACTGCATGAATCTGATTATCTTGGGGCAAATAAGCTAGCCCTAGCTCTTTATTGGTGAAAAAAAATCTAGGAAACACTTGTGCATTATACATCACCGGCATGGGGAGGGGAAAGGTCGACATGATTCCCCATCTTCTTTCTCCCGTTGCCCTCCAGGCTTGAGCCATGATCATTATCATCAGGGTTCCCCATCTTACGAATGAGTCTTTCCGGAACCCAGAACGGATTGTCTTCATCCTGTGGAAAAACACAGACAGCTCCCCTGGACCTTATCAGGATAGGATCCGGGCCTTTCCATTGATTAGTTAGCACATCTTTCCATTTCACCCATTCCTTGGGCCTTTTAGGTTCTGTGCAATGTCGCTCAGCCGCACTCATCCCTGAATCATCCAAGTTCAAAAAATTCAGGGTAAAGAGTGACATGGCTATGGCCACTCTCGGTCCAGGGGGTAGCTCCATTATTGCTCCCCCTTTTTGCTTTAATAAATATGATTTAAGTGTCCGATGTGCTCTCTCAATGATGCCCTGACCTTGAGGATTATAGGGCAATCCAGTAATATGAGTAACTTGCATTTGTGCACAAAATTGTTTAAATTTTTGTGAAGTATAGGCAGGCCCGTTGTCGGTTTTAAGACAGCGGGGTTTGCCCCAGGCACTCCAGGCCTCAAGACAGTGCTGAATCACATGAGAAGCCTTCTCCCCTGAAAGTGGGGTGGCAAAAAATATTCCAGAACAAGTATCAACAGAAACATGTATATATTGCAATTTACCAAAAGGGACATAATGGGTAACATCCATTTGCCAAACTTGTAAGGGGATCAAACCTCTCGGGTTAATTCCTCGATGGGGGACAGGCAAAAACTGACAGCAATTTTGACATTGTATCACTATATCTCTAGCTTCTTTTCTGGTTAAAGAAAAGCGTCTGCGTAATGTCTCTGAAGTAACATGAAATTTATTATGAAATTCTTTTGCAGCTATTATGGGTGAAGAAAGCGCAACAGCTGCAAGTCTAGTGGCTTGATCAGCGAGCGCGTTCCCTTTTGCCATGGGGCCGGGAAGACCAGAATGAGCTCTTATGTGTTCAATAAAGAAAGGATGCCGCCTTTGCAGCAGAGCAGCTCTAATGGCTTCAAATATGTGAGCCACCTTACTAGAAGGTCTAATCAACCCGGCAGTTTCAAGAATTTTAACTGCATTAACTACATATAATGAATCTGAAACAATATTAAGTGGGCCCATAAATTGTTGTAAAACTTCTAATACCACGAGGCATTCAACGACTTGTGGGGAAGATTCAGGAAAATGTTTTATATAAGTCATATCATTTACAACATAGGCCCCTTGTCCTGTTTTAGAACCATCTGTATATACTACTATCCCATTCTTAATTGGGGTATTAGAGGTAATTTTGGGAAAACTAAAGGCTGGGCCAAAGCAAACTGTAAAAGTGGATGCCTGGGATAATGATTATCAAAGGTCCCTGAAAATGAAGCACATAGGACTGACCAGTCGCTAGAGGTGGCGGCCAAAACCTGTATTTGATCCGGAGTATAGGGGCTAACAATGATATTAGGCTCCAGACCAAAGTATTCTATTGTCATTTTAATGCCTTTTATAACCAATTGTGCAACAGCAGCTGGATACCAATCAACAATTTTAGCAGGGGAAGCTCGAGGATGGACCCAGCATAAAGGCCCTTGTTGCCAAACAACGGCGGTGGGTAGACCTTGTGTGTTCAAGACACATAACAAAATTGGCTGGGTATAATCTATCCTATCCAGCTGGGCCTGAGTTATAGCTTTCTCGACTTTGCAAAGAGCCTCGCTTGCCGAGGGATCCAATTTCCTTGGGGAGGTGATATGCGGGTCCCCTTCTAAAATATCAAATAGAGGTTTTAATTCAATGGTGGGAATTTTTTTTAAAAAGGTCTTAGCCAATTAATATCACCCAATAACTTTTGAAAATCATTTAGAGTTTGTAACTTATCTTTTCTAATTTCAACCTTCTGTGGTCTAATGAAATCAGGTCGGATAACCGAGCCCAGGAATGATCCGGAGTCGGTTATTTGTACCTTTTCAGTGGCTAGGGAAAGTCCCCATTGACTTAATTGCTTTTGTAAGACAGGGAACATTTGCTGTAAAACTGTAAGATCTTGATGACATAACAGCACATCATCCATATAATGGATAGACAGGACCTGCGGGAACTGTCTTTTAACTGGGGCAAGTGCCTGATCAACAAAGAGCTGACAGATGGTTGGACTATTGGCCATTCCCTGAGGCAAAACTTTCCATTGGTATCTCTTATCTGGTTCTGCATGATTTAAAGAAGGTACCGTAAAGGCAAAACGCGGGCGATCAACGGGATGTAAGGGTATGGAGAAAAAACAGTCCTTAATATCTATGATCAGAAGGGGCCACCCTTTTGGCAGGGCAGTGAGTAGAGGCAATCCTCGCTGGACCGGACCCAATAGTAACATTTGTACATTAATGGCCCTTAGGTCATGCAACAAGCGCCATTTTCCCGATTTCTTTTTGATAACAAAAATCGGAGTATTCCAAGGCGAAGTGGATGGTTCTATATGACCAAGGCAAAGCTGTTCTGTAATTATTTTCATGATGGCATTCAGTTTCTCGGAGGTTAATGGCCACTGAGGAACCCATACCGGGTCCTCCGTCTTCCATGGTATGGGTCGTGCTGCCTCAGTGGCGCTCAAGAAAAAACCCAAGCCCGTTTTACCTTCATGAGGTCGGGGTGATATAGGGCGGGGATTGCCTTGCTCAAGACGTCCCAAGCCCCGGCCTTCTTGAAACCCCATCTTTTCCATCATGTTTCTAACTGAGGGCGAATAATTATTGGTTAAGGTAAGGCCCATTTCTGTTAGGATGTCTCTACCCCATAAATTAACTGGTAAGGGTAAGACATAGGGGGTAAATTGGCCTCTCAGTCCTTCTGAGGATTCCCAAGTTAGGGCACTAGAGCTGATGTCAGGGCTGGATTGATATCCCAGGCCCTGTAGAGAATGAGAGGACTGTGTGACCGCCCAACTTTTTGGCCACCAATGTGTTGAAATAATACTTTTGTCAGCCCCTGTATCCAAAATGCCCTCAAAACTTTTGCCATTAATTCTAAGAGTTAACTTAGGCCTTGTATTTAGTGCCACAGTTAAATAGGCCGAGTCCGTCCCTGTGGATCCCATCGGACCTTTTATATCTTGTGAAATTTGATCTTTTGCTGGAAGCAATACAAGCTGAGCTATCCTATCCCCCTTATGGATGGAGAAAACACCTTGGGGGCTGGAACAAAGAATTTGAATATCTGGAATATGGTGGTTATCAATTATTCCAGGATGTACAATTAGTCCCTGCGCAGTAAGGGCACCACGGCCTATTATAAGTCCTATCATACCATCAGGCAATGGGGGATGCAAAGGTGCCGCAGGCACTGGATGGACCCCCATATGTGGCATTAGTAGGACTGAGGTGGCGGCACGCAAGTCCATCCTGACGTCTCTTGTGGAGTCGTCTCCTCCTCGGAACTGGCCTTGGCAAACTGAGTCCCGTATCTTTGCGGGCCCCGGGATCGGGGGCCCACCTGGCCGTTTTTTGGCTCTTGGTCAGCTGTACCTGGTTTACGGGGGGGGAAGGAGATTGCCCTTAAGGTCTCTTATGGATCTGCATTGGCTTGCCTTATGGTAGCCTTTCCCACATCTGGCACAGATAGTATCCTGACCCTTTTTTAGAGCTCGACATTCTTTTTTTTAGGTGCCCTGGCTTTCCACAATTAAAACAGAGCCTCCGATCCTTGAAGCCCGTCGGCTTTCTTTGTGATTGAAGAATGGCAGCCGCCAAGCCTGCATTAGTAAGCGGTCCTCCGAGTTCTCTGCATACCCTGAGCCAATCATCCAAACCTTTTCCTTTCCTAGGGGCAATTGCTGTTTTACATTCTTGTGTAGCCTGCTCAAAGATGAGCTGTTCTATCAACGGCTTAACCTGCTCTGTATCTCCAAAAATTCTTCCTGCCGCTTCCGTCATCCTTGCCACAAAATCAGAAAACGGCTCCTGAGGTTGTTGTATAATCTTGGTAAGTTGTCCACCTGCCTTCCCTTTCTGCGTAAGTGACTTCCATGCCCTAATTACCAGGGTGGCTATTTGAGCATATGCGCCCCAAGGGTAATTAATTTGGTTCACAGCATAGACTCCTTGTCCTGTAAGCAGATCGAAATTCCATTCTCTCTGCTCTGGGGTGAGTGCTATGGCGTTAGCCCTCGCCTGTGACTGGGCAGCCTCATGCCATAATGCTCTCCATTCCATATATTGCCCCATATTTGGTAATACTGCCTTCACCACCATCTGCCAATCGGCAGGAGTTAGAGGATCCAAGGCAAGCCTTTCTATCTGCATAATAGTAAAGTTGGCATTAGGTCCATAATTACGAACCGATTCTGCCAATTCTTTTATCTGTTTATACTCAACCGGAGTATGTACCCGCCCTCCATTCTCTACTTCGAAAACGGGGAAGGTGAGATGGACCTTTCTTCTAATTTTTTCAGGTAAAAAGGAGAAACTATGTAAACGCCCTTCATAAGGGGGGGGAGAGAGCGGCATAGGCGGAGCAGATGGAGTTGCTATCGCTTTTGCTGAGGCCTTGCCCTTGGGTAGCAGTTTAGAGAAAAACTCCCCATCCGGGTGATATCTCTCCGCCTCGTACTTTGTAGCCTCTTCTTCTAGTTCTGTCTCATCTCCAGGGCCTAGAGAGTCTTGTTCGGAATCAGAAGACTCAGAACTGGCGGAGCTGCCGAGGTTCAGCGCCTCCAGTTCTTTAAAAGGATACATTTGACCTGTCCCTTTAGTGGAAAGGCCAGGAAGGGCATCTGGTTTTGCTATAATGTTCTCTCCTAAAACAGGAGGGCTCTTTTTCTTAGTTTTTCTTTTGTATACCTCCGTTTTCTCGCGCGCGCCTGACCTCTCACTACGTTCGGTTTCTGACATGCTATCCTGGGTTACCTCGAGAATGGCCTGACCCTCTACAACGGCCGCCTGGCAAGCTTCATCCTCAATACAGTTCTTCACTAGTTTCCATACTGCCTTGGTCCCTATCCTTAGGTCTCTTTGCTCTAGGTGTCGATCAAGATCCCTCCCCAACTTATTCCATGATGCCAGGGTGAGAGAGCCAGAAAGGGCATACCAGGGTGCCACACGATCGACCTCCTTGACAAAGCTCCGTAACGTCTTTCTGTCAACCTTGATATTCCTCTGCTTTAATACAGTCTCCAAGGTAGTTAATATGGATTGAGAGGACCCCATGGTGGCTGCAGCTTATCTACGTCTGACTAATCACCACCGTTACCAATGGTACAGATGACCGTGGCTTATCTACGTCCGTCTTACAGCAAATGGGGAAAAACGAAAGCAAAGGACAGAAGAGACTGTTCAGGCCCCTTTATCTACAGGAGGCTTAGGTGACCAGTATAAAGAAGACAAGAACAATACCAAGGAGGACGATTGCTTCAGGCAAACCCTCCCAAGGCGGAGACAACCCCAGACCAAAGTCCCAGATCAGCATACCTCTCCGAACTTACCTGCCTGCAGTTCTGAATCCTCCTCGTTTCCAAGGGGTCTTCGATGGTGCGGACGATGGCTTGGTCAGTTTCCCGGGTTTCGGCACCAGTTGTCCCGCGCTCTATCTCGCCCGCAAGAATGACGCGGCACACGATCAGGATCCTTCTGCAGTAAGCTTTATTGCTCCTGAGAGGAGGAGCATAAGCTATCACAAAGCGAAGACCCCACGCCCTAACGGGACTCTCCTTATATAGAGAGTTTCTCTCGCCTCGGACGTGGCAGTTAATTACTGGTCCAATTATGTCACCCGAGGTGACGTAAGGCACAGGCACCCCCGGCCTCGTGGGCAGGGAGCTCCTGCTCATGCGCAGCAGAGTTGTCATTGCAACTGTCAGGTGGATGTCAGCGCCATCTCGCCATGGCGTGGTTCCAGGGCAGCGCCCAACAAACATCCTTAGCCATCAGGGAAATGCAAATCAAAACAACTCTGAGATACCATCTTACTCCTGTCAGAATGGCTAGAATCAAAAACACCGAAGACAATTTATGCTGGAGAGGATGTGGAGAGAGAGGAACACTCCTCCACTGCTGGTGGGAATGCCGACTCATACAGCCTCTTTGGAAATCAGTATGGAGATTCCTCAGGAAAATGGGAATTAATCTACCACTAGACCCAGCAATTCCACTCTTAGGCATTTATCCAAATGAGGCAGGTTCATACAACAAGGGCATCTGCTCCACTATGTTCATAGCAGCATTGTTTGTAATAGCCAGAACCTGGAAGCAACCTAGATGCCCCTCAACTGAAGAGTGGATAGAGAAATTGTGGTACATTTACACAATGGAGTATTACTCAGCAGAAAAAAACAATGGAATCTTGAAATTCGCAGGGAAATGGATAGCACTGGAAGAAACCATCCTGAGTGAGGTAACCCAGTCACAAAAAAACAAACATGGTATGTACTCACTCATATATGGATTTTAGATATGGATCAGGATAGTGCCAGTCTGCACTTCCACAGATAGAGAGTCTGGGAAACAGGAAAGAACCTAAAAGATATGCATATATGCATAGTACCCAAGAGAAGAGGATGGAGACAAGATCCTCTGAATGGATGGGGAACACGGCGAGGGGTGGGGGGGAGTGGGACCTGGGAAGAAGAGAGGGGGTAAAGAGGAAGGGAGTTGGTCATGGGGGAACAGGAAGTTGAGGGGGTGGGGGTAAAATAGGGGGAAGAGGGAATCATAGGATCGAAGACAGATCAGGCACCAGAGTGACCTCGAGTGATCTAAAGGTATAACATCAATTGGCAAGCTAAGCAATAGTGGAAGGACCACCTCGAATGCCCATTCCTGATAATGAACGTGATGTCTATAACCATCCGGGAGCCTTCATCCAGTGATTGATGGAAGCAGAGGCAAACACACAATTAAGCACTGAACTGAACCCAAGGAACTCAGTGACAGAGAGAGAGGAGTGATGAGCAAATTGGCAAAGAATGGGCTGGCAAAACCAGCAGAGACAGCTGATCTGAACAGGGGAGTACTCTTGGACCCCAGACCGACAGTGGGGAGGCCAGCATGGGACTGATCTGGACCCCCCCAAATGTGAGTGTCAGTGAGAAGGCCTGGGCAACCTATGGGGCCCTGAGCTGTGGATCAGTGTCTATCCCTGGTATACAATCTGTCTTCATGTGCCTATAGCACAAAGAGAGATGCTCTCTCAGCCTGGACTCTTAGGGGAGTGCCTTGACCCTACCAAGAGTAAAATGATAGACTCTAGATATCCCCTATGTGGAAGGATTTGGCAATAGGGTGGGAGGGAGGGTGGAAGGGGAGTGCGGGAGGAGGGGAGGGAGAGGGAACTGGGATTGACATGTAAAACAAGCTATTTAAAATTAAAATAAAAAATGATAAAAAAAACATTCAAATTTCAAAGCACACTTGCATTCATTCACTGCATGTACATCTCTTGACAAAAGTCCTTGAAACTAGGCACCACTCCCATTGCTTCTTAAAAAAAAAAAAGATGCAGATTTAGGGAGTCTAATTTGCTCTGCATCAAATATTTGAATTTGTCAAAGGCAGAACTTGCATCTGTTTCCAAAGTCTTTTAGCTTTGCTGCCTTTGGTTCATTAAATGTGACTGGTATATGAAATAGTTGTCTGTACACTAATTTCCAGGCCTGTTGTACATAAAAAAGAAGTACCCAGCAAGAAAGAGTTTATGACAATTTCCACAGATGGAATGTGAGCTAAATACTGTGTGATACATCTGACTAAGACAATTTACAAGACCATTTGATCCTCCAGGGTTCTTTCTGAAGCAACGGATACAACTGAGAAAGTAGACCTGAACTGAGTCTATATTGAAGAAGAGAATAATGTTCTAATGTATTTCTTGTGTGTACCAGGATTTTTCTTTTGGGCCACCAACCAGCTCCCAAATCATGACATGGAGATGTACTATTAGTTTTGAATGTTCAGCCTTAGCTTAGTTCTTATTTTCATCTGTTTCTCTTTAGCTGCATTTTGCTTCAGGGCTTTTTACCTTTCTTTTTTTCTGTGTATCTTACTTTCACTGCTTCTCCTGTCTGGTGAGCTGGCAGCTGCCTGACTTCTGGGCCCGGGTGTGTCCCGCACTTTCTCCCTCACTCTCTTCTCTCCTCTTCTTCCTCTCATTCTTCTCTAGCCTCGATCTCTCCTCTTAGACATTCTTTCTGCCTGACAGCTCTGCCTATCCCTCTCTTGCCTAGCTATCTGCTATTCAGCTTTTTATTAGACCAATCAGGTGCCTTAGGCAGGCAAGATGAAACAGCAACATTAAACAAATGTAGCAAAAACAAATGTAGCACACCTTTGCAAAGTTAAAGTTAACATGTCACAGCACAAACAATGTACATGGTTAAATATTCCACAACACTTGTATGTATGTGTGTGTTTTGGAAGGATATGAAGGGGGTCAACTTAATTTTATACTTCATCCACCCTGATACCATTAATACCATAACAGAAATTAATTTAAAAGTGAAATTAACCAGAGTACTTGAGACTGGGATAACAAAAAGAATGAGAAGAAGTGAAAAGTGTAAATGCCCTCAAGTTGGTAGAAGAATTTGGCAAAGCCAAACAGAGGCCAGTATTTTGGGGTACAGAACGGGGCATATCAAAGGGATAGGAATTCTTTTCTTTTCTTTTTTATTTTTTTACCAATTTATTTTTTTACAATCCAATCCCAGTTCCTTCTCCTACTCTAACTACTTTGCACATCCCACGACTCATCTGCTCCTCAGAGAAGGTAAGGCCTCCCCTAGGAAGTTTACAAAGTCTGTCCCATCATCTCACTGAGGCAGAACAAAGGCACCTCTCCACTCCCACACCCCTGTGTCTAGGATGAGGAAGGTATCTATTCATATAGAATGGGCTTCACTAAGTCAGTCTGTGCATTAGAGTTAAATCTTGGACCCACTACCAGTGGCCTCATATATTGTACCACGTGTACCATTGACATCTACATTAAGGGGTCTAGTTCAGTCTTATGCAGGTTCCCCATTTGTTAGGCCAGAGTCAGTGATCTCTCACTATTTGGAGTCAGCTGATCCTGTGGGTTTCCCCATCATGGGCTTCACTCCTTTGTTCATGTTATCGATCCTCCCTCTCTTTGATTATACTCCAGGAGCTTGGCCCATTGGTTAGTTGTGGATTTCTGCATCTGCTTCCATCTGTTTCTGAAACAAGGTTCTAGCTTCTCAGGGGTTATGGATTGTAAGCTGGGTATCTTTTGCTTTATGTCTGGTATCCACTTATGAGTAAGTACACACTGCATTTGCTTTCTGGTTTTGGGTTACCTCACTCAGGGTGTTTTTTTCTAGTTCTGTCCATTTGCCTGTGAATTTTAGGATGTCATTGTTTCTTACCACTGAGTAGTACTCCATTGTATAAATATATCACATTTTCTTTATCCATTCTTCACTTGAGCGGCATCTAGGTTGTTTGCAAAATCTGGCTATTATGAATAATGTTGCTATGAACGTAGTTGAGCAAATATCCTTGTGGTGTGAATGTGCCTTCTTTGGGTATATTCCCAAAAGTGGTATTTGAGGTAGGTTGATCCCTAAGTTTCTAAGAAATCACCATACTGATTTCTATAGTGGCTGTACAAGTTTGCACTTCCACCAGCAATGGAAGACTGTTCCCCTTTCTCTACATCCTCTCCAGCATAAGCTGTCATTGGTGATTTTGATCTTAGCCATTCTGATCAGTGTAAGATGGAATCTCAGAGTGGTTTTATTTACATTTCCCTGATGACTAAGGATGTTGAGTATTTTCTTAAGTGTCTCTCTGCCATTTGAGATTGTTCTGTTGAGAATTCTTTGTTTAAATCTGTACCTCATTTTTTAATTTGATGATTTGGTAGCTTGATGTCTAGAGTCTTGAGTTCTTTGTATATTTTGGAGATCAGTTCTCTGTCGGATATGGGTTGGTGAAGATCTTTTCCCATTTTGTAGGGAGTCATATTGTCTTGTTGACCGTGTTCTTTGCTTTACAGAAGCTTCTCAGTTTCAGGAGGTCCTGTTTATTAATTGTTGGTCTCAGTATCTGAGCTACTGGTGTTTTATTTAGGAAGGTGTTTCCTGTGTCTATGCATTCAAGTGTATTTCCCACTTTCTCTTCTATGAGGCTCAGTGTAGATGGATTTATATGGTGGTCTTTGACCCATTTTGATTTGAGTTTTGTGCATGACAACAGATAGGGATCTATTTACATTCTTCTACATATTGACAGCAAGTTATACCAGCACCATTTGTTGAACATGTTTTCTTTTTTCCATTTTATATTTTTAGCTTCTTTGTCAAAAATTAGGTGTCCATAGGTGTGTGGGTTGATGTTGGGGTCTTCAATTAGATTCCATTGGTCTACCTGTCTGTTTTTATGCCAATACCAAGCTGTTTGTTTTTATTACTATAGCTCTATAGTAGGGCTTGAAGTCAAGGATGGTGATGCTCCCAGATGATTTTTTT